CCCCCCCCACTTCCTTAGTAGGACGCCCTCAAAGGTTATTTAAGTGATAGAATTCAACACCTACAAATTATGGGAACTTTTACGTGGATTCAGGTACCCCAAACAAGACACCAAACTAGTTGGAGAAAATTGAGGTGAAAACTTGAGATCGAAATTCCAGGGCTCCATTCTACGACAAAGAACAGCAATTCTGGTACCCTATGACTGACGAAATACTGACTTATGCGCACGACCCACACGCGAGCTCATAGCGATTCCAACATGATCCACTTGAGTAGTCCGTAAAAATATTCCACAGGGGGGACAGTGTTCCGTGTTCTATCTCTGTTACTGTCCACAACGCTAAGGCTTTAAATCGACCTCCCTCTGCTCTCCCTGATGACCATGTGACCCCCCCAGAGAAAAATCCTCTGAAACCCACAGGAAGTAGAAAATGATTGGTCCCTAACATTTTAAATGGAAGGAAACGGAGGGATTACTGGATATAGCTTCTGAGACGAGATTTTCTCAGCGTCTGTCGGTTACAAAAAAAATTTGGCAGGTAGCTTCGAGTACATTGGGAAAGTCCGGTTGTATTTTCGACTTCGATGTCATACATTTTCCTCGGCTCTTACTGAATTAAGTTTGGAGCACACCCTTAATAGGAATGGTAATAAAGGAAGCAGATATCGATGAACAGCTGATCCCTTCACAAAACTGACTAACTTAATATGGTAGTAATAGATAGCTTGGACGTGACCTGAGCCAAGTTTTCTGATGTTACTTGCTCTCGAATTAATTTTTGATTCATAAGGGCAAATTTAAAATCATATTCGGTTCTCTTACCTCAATATGTATGACACATGAAAACTTTGTCACATTAAACTACCTCTGAAAACGGTTAATGTTTTGCTAGTCGATATGCAACTAAGGAGCTGATTTTAGAGCAGTTCTTCGATGAGATCTTTTCTTGTTCTCAATCTCAGTCTATGTCTGTGCTCGCACATAAAACGTAACGTTTTACAGAATTACATCCTGTCAACTCCTTCATTTTAGTAGAATGCCTGTAGAATTCCTCTTTAAATTATTTCCAATTAGCAATTATTTTTTCCGTGAGGAAAAGAAAAATGTGCAGTTTTTAAGAAAATTGGGAAATACATGTACTTGTACTATGCCGTGAATGAATTCAAATAGAAATCAGATCAAACTTATTCAATTGAGATTGCATGTTAAAACAACATGATTTTAAACAACTGAGAAATGCCGACAAGGTCCAGTCGGAACTGAAACCGGAAACTGAAATCGAAAGTGCTGGCATCACTGCTCTTCGTTTTTGTGTCGGTTTGTTTGGTTTTTTTCACGGAATAATAAGGTCGTAATTGTACGCATGCTCAGTGATACAGGAAAGAGTTTCTACCACTGGTGATCGTCGCGTTTTAAAACAATAATTTCATCTATTTTCCGGATTAAAGCAAAATATTAAAGCATTTCCGAAAAGAAACTACCTAAGACCTAAGACCTAAGACCTAAGACCCAAGAGCTACGTTCTGTGTAATTTGACTGAAGAAAACGTTTGGACTCTTACTTGTAGTCACTGTAAGCTGCTTCTATTGCATGGATTTGAATGAAGACCAATTCCTGTGGTTTTCTTTATTTTATTTTCGGTTTTTCTTTTTTGTTGTTTATCATAAAATCTTACCTTTTTATAACCATGGTTACGAGCTGCTTACGTCACCAACCTAATATGGTAGTTGTTTTGAACTTGGATATATAAAAGATATGCCCCTGTCTAGCTTTGCCCTCTGATGACCGCCAATCATCACAAACACACACTCACTAAATGACAGACATACTTAAATTTGAATACAGAGCTGTTTTAGTTCGGATTGCTCGCGATCTGGACGAAGAACAGCATAAACAACTCTTCTTCCTCTGCAAAGAACAAGTTCCAAGACGAGGTTTAGACGTTTGGACACTTCTCACTTCACTGGAAGACTCGGCGAAGATATCGTGGATCGATGTTTCCCTCCTGAAGAAATGTTTGCACGTTATTGGAAGGGAAGATCTCGTTGTCCTCCTGACCGAGTTTGAAATGAAACGAGACCTGTCCATTCTTATGAATTTCTACGTCAAGGAGAGGAATGGCCTACACCTCTTCTACCGGTCGTCTGCGACTGAAGCGGCTATCCACCTTGTGCGGCTAATGGAAAGGTATCCAGGCAGAGAAGATCTGAGAGGAATGATGAGAGGCTCAGACAAGAAAGCGAAAGATCTTTGGCTGCAATTCTTGTCTGCAACTCCTCGGACCTCGAGAATGACGTGGGGCAAATTTTCCATGCTGGTTGCGATTGCCGGAGAAATAATAGCCAAGACATCATCGAATCATTGCGCAGGAAGTTCAGATGAAGCCATCATGGATATGTGCGTAATTTTGGCGGATGAGCTTTGTACTATTATGGTTCAGCTTGGATGTTGGGTAACTGAAATTAACTTAGTACAAGACTATTTCTAAAGCTAAATCCATTGATTAATATTTGTCTATTGGTTATAATTGTTGTAATCAAAATCGATGCAGCCGATGTAGATCTCGAAAGTGAAAATGAAGTTTATTCAAAAATTATTTTGAAAATCATTCTACCGTAGACTTCACAACTGATACTTGGCTTATCGGTTGTTTTACTTTAGAACATCTAACCGCTTCGAAAATAGGCAGTTTTTAAATCATAAACTGAGTTTCACGCTATTCATATCAATAATTCGGATTTCGATAGAAAGTATTACACCTTGTCTGTGTAGGAATAGACAATCGTTCTAGTAATCTGCTTTACTAATTAGGTATCATCTTAACTTTTCACCGACCATCGTTAAATTTCAAACTGATCTTGACGTAGAGTGAACGAGACTTAACTTATTGGCAAAAAGATGACCTCATCGCGAGTAATTCGGCGCGGGTTAGAAAATTGCCTTTCTTCACAATAATGGCGTGCCAGCGTTAGTCATAAGGAATTCGATAGTCAACAGTGATGTGTCACAACACATCACATCAACTTGCAATTTGATTCTCACCCGCGTACTTCCCCTCAAAATGATAGCTTCAGTAAGACTGGCGATAGAAAGCCAAACCATTATTCTTTACAATGTGCTTGCAAACTTTCAATTTGGTAAAAAATTTACATGCCGACCAGACCATGATAACTTAATTAATTATTAATCTGCATTCGGTTTATATACAAATTTAAAGCTACCGGTCCACTGAATTCGACTCCCGTATTTATTTGATGAATCTACAGAGTCGAATCTTTGTCGTCGATCCGATCGGGGCATGAGTTTGAGTTTCAAATAGGAAAAGAGAATCATTTCGCGTTATATTTCCCCCTATAAGTTCAATGAAATTTGCATTTAGTGCTATTCTATTCTTATATATTGCAGTACGATCATAATGTTTCTATCTTTAATTCACACCTTCTGCCCAAATGCATGCTTTAATTTCCTGCCTCTTCTCTCCCCAATCGCTTCCCTCACTACCTCCATCAGTTTATTTTATTGCGAGTTCGTCAGGTAACTTGCCTTCTTGTAAGCTTACTTATGTGCTATAAGGAAAGGTCTTCAGTTCCTTATTTACAAACATCTGAACAGCCTTGTTTACCCGCGGAATAAGTTCAGCTCAAGCACCGTCGTCAATTCTTTGATTACTGTTGAGGAATTTGATACCAAATGATAATTTGAACATCCATATATATCAATGTATTCTTTTGATAAGGTATTTTCGTCCCGCAAATGCTGTAGGTGATGTTGACCCGTGCATGGGGAGTGTTGCATCTCACATAAACTTACCTTGTTGTTGATAATTTTTCTTTTCACCACATTTTTAGGAAAACTTTTGCACTGATGTTGAGAAAAGAGCCCAGCGGATTTGCGGACAGGATGTCAATGGCAGCCCCTCTTTTGCAGGCTTTAGAAAGCAAATAGCCGACGCCATTCATGAGTTGGAGAACAGCATCTTTTCCTAATTGATGTACTCAACTCTTGACTGTGTGGAGAGAGGAAGCTTTTTTTTTTTTTAGTAGCTTCATAGATCATTACACAAGAAAATGTCTTTAAAGTCAGTGTTGTTAGCTCTCCATTCTCTGAGATTCTGTTTCAGATTTTATTTGTTAACTTCCTAAAAAAAAATAAGGCATCTCGTAATCGTAGCTTGAGTATGCAACTGCAGGATGAAAACCAACTGACATTGATAGTCTTAAAGGTTAAAGGTGTAATTGCAAGTTTTTCTTGTGTAATGATCTCCTTTTTTTGGAAAACAAAACAAAAAAAAATATTTCAGGAAAAAAAGAATTGTAAACAAAATAAGATACAAGAAAAAAAAATCGAAAAAATTTGCCAAAAAGGAAAAAAAAATATGAAAAATAAGTCACAAAATTCAAGAAAAAAAAGGTTGACTGTACTTAGGTACGGTACATAAGAAAGATGCAAAAAAAATTGTTGCGAAAGGCTAAGCAACCCTATTTTGCTACACTGTACAAGTACAAGAGAAAATGATCTCTTGACAGCAAAGAAAAGATAAGTTTGTATTCCAAAGCTCACATAAGAAGCGATAAGCAAGGGAATACTTAACAAAAAAGAAAAAAAAATTATTGAACACGAGGTTTCAAAAATACAATGTTACAAACAATAGCGAAAGGCTAAGCAACCCTATTTTGCTACACTGTACAAGTACAAGAGAAAATGATCTCTTGACAGCAAAGAAAAGATAAGTTTGTATTCCAAAGCTCACATAAGAAGCGATAAGCAAGGGAATACTTAACAAAAAAGAAAAAAAAATTATTGAACACGAGGTTTCAAAAATACAATGTTACAAACAAGCAAATGACGCATCAGAGAAAAAAAATGTGGCGGTTAAAAAAATTCTCGTCAGAGAAACAAAAAAAAGAGAAATATCTAATAAAGTTTACTACTTTTTTTCCTCAAACCTGTGCTTAATGTTTGATTTGTCTAACAAGGGTAAAATGTCCGAAAAGGTAATGGGAATTGATAACCACCGAGTCAACTTTCATGGGAAGATTCTATCTCTGAAAAAGAAGAGTTCGAGTTAGAAATTTCAAAGGTGTTGATGATGCAATGGTCTGAGTCGTAGCCCTGGCACTGACGAAGCGTTGTGCCTAAGGCAACTCTGGCAGTGTCTCTCTCAGCCAGGAGTATAAATGAACACCCCCTAAATTGCCATGGAAACCTGGTAAAATGCGGGAGCCTAACCCTACGATGAATTGACATCCTAATATTGCTATATATCTGGGAGGGATGAGCTCAGAGGGGAAGGAACAGATACTTCTTACCGTTGCGTCACACGCATTGGACGCATTCGCCCGAGTTGGAGACGGAAAGAATTATGCCAAATTATTTTCTATAAAACGAGTGATTAAAGCATTAGCTTGATGCTGCTGTTCTGCCAACTTGGAAATATACTCCATTCACTCTCCATGAAAGGGTTCGGCCTGCAATGACAGAGATAATGTATATAGGGTGGGTTCTTCGGAAGGTAAGTTCCCTGAATCCAGTCTAAAGTGACTTTACCTTTCGTTTAAACCGCCCAAGGAATAGTTCGGGCCAGGAATCAAAATTTGACGCTAGAAATCATGAAGGCAACTCGGAGAGATGCCTTTTCTTAAGTGTTCGTTGACCAGTGACTGCTCATAGGACCGCTTTAGGAAGTTATCGTGATAGGCTGACTAAAATGGAAATTACATAATTATAGAGTGCCCGGATGCTTAAGGCACTATATTTTCTGCGCACTCTCCTTTATTCCCCTGTGAGAAGGTCACACTCAATTAGTAATGGCGTCTACAGCAGCCTCAACCGAAAGGGAAAACTTTCCATCATCGTTCAGCAGCATGAAATATCAGTATCCACCTGTGTTCAAAGATTTCCTCATCCGCCTTGCCAAATCTTTGGACAGCGAAAATCGTGCAGCATTCCAGTTTTGGTGTAAGGGTCTTCTCCCGGGCTCGATGTTGGATGGCGACATGACCACTGATGCTGAGTTCTTCGCATTGATCGATTCCCTTCTGAATTCTAATGAATTATCTCTCACCAACATGAAAGTGCTTAAAGATATCCTCTCAAGTATTGGCCGTATGGATCTGCTGCAGGAGCTTAAAAAAGTAAAATTGCGAATCTCAATTGGTATCATTTTAGAAGATTACCTGAAGTTCAAATCTGTTGATGACTTCCGCCAGGGCACTCCTATGAAATCTCCTGAAAATCACAGTAATATTGTGAAGCTTCTACTTACCACTAAAGAAGAAAATCTTTACCTGATAACAGAAGTCCTTGGACAGTTGAAGCCACTTTGTTCTGATCAAAACTTCGTGAAGAAATTTACAAATATTGCTCTTCTTGGCTCAAAACTATCGTGGCCGATGATTAGCTCATCTTTGGTTATTATTGGCGAGCTTTATGCTTTGCTTACACCACAGTCAAGAAGTTTCGAGAGTGGTTTTTATGTTTACCTGTTTTCCATGACCAAGGCAAGCAAGTTGCTATCAGATTGGATTTTTGAAAACGGTGGTTTGGTAAGTAAACTGGAGCTACATACGCTCAATATATAAAAAGCTCCCTGAAACATAAATTTGTGTGTCACGACGTTAAATTACCTGATTAGTGAACAAAAGTTTACACTTTCATGTACATAAAGAAAAATGACAAATCTTGATTGCGGTAGCTGTGATTTGGCTAACTTTTGTTTCTGCAACAGATGGCAACCCTGGCCTAAAGGAATACATTGTGTCAATGTTGTGATTATCCTTCGAATTCAATATGCACAATTTGCAGTTTTAGCGTACGTTGGTAATGAGAATAAAAAACAGCAGAAGAAGAAGTGATGAGCCAGTTTTAATCATCATTTATAGTTTTCTATTCAACATTTATCTGCTTAAAGGGACGAGCATTTGAGTGCAAAGTGCTTTTGTAAAGGAAAAAAGTTTATTAATTCTGCCATGCTTGAGGTATGCTATTAAATACTCAGGCCCTCCAAGGTGCGAATTCTGTCCGCTTGTCTTCGAGCTAGAAACACCCAAAAACTGCTACCTAACTTTTCCTTTCTTGAGAAAAATTTTGTTTTGCATGAAGAGAAAACTAAATGCCCATAGTGGTTCATTGCAAATTTAACACCATTCGATGACTCTGGAAGACCTTTCAAGCAAACACAATTGTTGTATTCACAACGAGAGGTCATTGGCATGCATGAAAAAATATACATTACAGCATAAAATGTTGACAAGTTGTAACTGATAGCCTGCAATCAAAGTCAAACTCATTTCTAAGCTAAACTTTTTTAAATGTCATCCAAAATCTGTATCAATTAATGCTCAAATGTTCTTTCTTCATTTGCCAGAAAATGTATAATGAATTCATCAGCAAGAAACAACGAGCAACAATCAGTGAATCAGTGCCATCTTCCCTTGGGAAATCTCTGAAAGACAAAATCGAGCTGCTTGGAAGTCGTGTGGGTCTACCGTTAAGAAATTAAGTTGAAAATGCTGTTTACTTCTTTACCATCCTGAATATCATTTGTGTGATCTTTTTATACCTACCCCCTCTTATGGACTGCCACCTTGCCGTGGTGGAGGGGCTTATGCGTTTCAATGATCCTGAGAACTCAGCCGGTGGAGGCATGTGAGCCTCTGGCAGGTACAACCAAGCCGGAAAGATCAAAGGGGAGAAACCAGACCAAAAGGCAGTCAAAATTCCTACTCTGTACATCAGCAGAAATCAGGTACATTTTACTCCCGCAGTGAATTTGGTCAGTGGTTTTGTCGAGTACTACTATGCATGCACTTAATATAAATGTAAAAGTGGATCTAAAGTTTATTTGGTCAAGAGACTGATTAGCCAGATAAGATTGAAGAACTAGGTATGAAATGTTCGAATAGTGGATACAAAAATATTATAGTTGAAGTTTTTTTTAAAAACAAACTGCATTTATTTTTAACAATTTCAGGACTTTTATTATCTCTTGAAATGGAAGAATTGGCCTCTATGGACCAGCACATGGGAACCTTCAGCTCATTTGTGTGATCAGCTTATCAGGTACTAGCTGAAGTATGTTTTTGGAAAGTGCTAGAAATAATCATCAATGCATGCAGCTTGGGTCCACACCAGGTCTGGGTCCATACAAAGCTTATGCTTTCTTTTAATTAATAATCTTATAGGACCTTATACAGCAACCCTCCTGTCTCCATGGAAAGGTTACAGAGTGTATCAGCTTCATTTCTGGAAGGCATCCTATCCTTGAGGCGGATGCAATCAAAGTTTATTATTCCTCTGAGTTGAGGGTGGATCATGATATTGTTAGATATGGTTTTTGAGGAAAAGGTAAAAAACCACACAATGGAGTTAGCATGCTCTATGAAGAGGACAATTTTTCTTGCCCTGGGCTTTCTCCAAATTGGTGGTATTATTTATTATAAATGAACTTGGAGAAGGAATAGCAGTTGACTTTCCTTTCAAGTTAAAAACTGTTCTTACTTATTCAAAACATAAGCACACTTAGCATGCAAGAGTTATTTTTTGGCTGGGTGGGTTGAGATGGGACAGTTTGTTTACTTAGTATTTTCATTTTTGTCACCAAAAAGAGCATAACCTTCAAAAACAAAAATATCGCTGAAACACAAGAAAAAAACCTAATTTATCTGAATTCACACAGAGATTATGTGATCTGTTTCTATTGTTATTCTAAGTTAAATTGAAATGCATGGGTGCCACACTTACTGTTGTCTCCTTTGCAGCTGTTAGTTAGTCTCGTCACTCAACGCCCTCTATTTCCTGTTTGAGAGAGAGCGCACGTTGCCTGACAAGACCAAATAACAATGGCGAAAAAGACTATGCAACAATATTTCAAAGAGGGCTCCTAATTGGTTGTTGCCCATCTGGACTTTACCCTATGTGTGTGAAATGTGTGATAAAATGCAGGTTCTTTTACAATGAAATTAACTCATAATTGGTTAAGTCCAAGGTAGCTTAAAGCAACTTTTATCCATAGAAAAGTCAAATGCAGGAAAATTACGTGGTAAACTCAACATCAGTAGCATCTAGTTCCATGTGAATTTTTTTCAGTGGGGTTGGACAATGCAGTTATGATATGTAATAGAATGCAGGTTGTTTACAAGAAAATGACATGTAATAGAGCAAAGTCCAATGTGGCAAAATGGAATTTGATTGGTGGAATACAACTGAAGCACATAAAAAATTGCATAATGTTCATATAGTGTACTGATGAGGTATGTTCTGATTGGACCTTAGACGTTGTTTTCATGTTACAAGATGGTATGTAAGTTGTTTGGCATGTGCATTGTGAGCAAAGGAGTGAAAAAAACACGATTTAACTTTAAAATTTAAATATATGCCTTTCATATCCCGATAAATCTTATCCTCAGTCAACGAGGCTCTTGTGAAGGCCACAAACCTTTACACTTATCAAATGAGCCCAAAATTTCTGGTTAATGTCATTCTTTGTGCACAGTCAAGTGATCAATGACAGCATTTAAAGAAAACAATTTACCCAAACGTTGTGCTTGGTGCAGGACATTCAATTGCTATGATATGATTGGTGCAGGACATTCAAATGCTATGATATGATTGGTGCAAGATACATATCCTAATGTGGCAATCTGATTGGTGCAACATACCACTCTTTACGTTAACGTAGAGTCAAAATTTTTTTGTTGAAAAAAAAAACTCAAAAAGCATTTCATGTCATGGAGTGGCCAAATCAAATTAGTGCCAAATTTTCCAGTTGAGAAAGTTGTTTTAATTTAACAGAATAGCTTGTAATTCCACAAACATTTAATTTTCTTTAGGGCAGGTGAATATAATAATCCTTTGCATATGAATATAATCCATTGTCTGACAATAATAATAATTTTGAAAACATATTTAAACACGGGCAAGCAAACAGATGGAAGTTTAAGTATTGAAATAAAGATAAAAATTATTTACATATTTAATACAGATGAAAATTATTTATATATTTGTACAATCAATGAAATTAAATACCTAAACATGTGTACATCTTTATTGTTTTTGTTTTGTTTTGTTTTGTTTTTTTTGCTGCTAAAAGTTATTGATTTTCCTGCAAAAGCTCAATCAGTAGTCACTTTTTCATCCCGAATGCTGTAATGCATTAAGATTTTATTTCCTGTCACAACTGATTGACAGTCATTCTGTTGTATTCATCCTCAATTAAGTTGTTTTCTGGTACTTCAGCTTCATTATGGTTCATGATTGTTCATTATGGTTATGATTGGGAGTTCTCTCAAGTAATTTGAATCAAGAAATTGTTTTACAAGATCTTGTAAAGTTGCAGAAAATGAAAGTTGTGCAGCCATCGGGGTGCTGACCTGGTGTTCTTTCAATGTGGCATAGTTTAGTAAGTTCATTCCTTTTTTGTTTGATCAAGTAAGACCTTGGTAAACTCTCAGAGAAAACAGACAACTCATGGTAAAGCTCATCACTGGCACAAAATTTGTCTAGCAAAAATTTCTAGGTTTTCCTGGTCAGCATCATTTGCTGATGGCTGATCAAATTCCAGGGAATGCATTTCATTAATGGCAGCCTCCTGGACCGTAAGGAAAGGCAGCTTGAGCCCGTATGACTCTAGAAACCAGAGGGCAAATTCTGACTTTTCATTAGGTTCCCTCAGTCTTCTTAATTGTTGCGTTTTCCTACTTTGTCAATAGTTTTCCCTTGACAAAGAAAACCTCCTTTTCCCTCTACATTCTGAATGTACTTAGAGAGTTCTTTATTTTTTCCTGAATTTCTCTCAACTTTTCTTCTGTATTTTTTACTGTTTCTTCAATTTCATTCTCTTTTCTCTTTAATGCATTCTTCGTTTCTCTTTCCAACCTTTCTTTCTCCTTTTCCAGATCCTTGTTCTTCAGTTTCCATTCTTTTATTCCTTGCTCTACAGCAAAGAGATTATCTTCTATTTCATGAGGCACCATTAGCTCACGTTCATAGATGTTCAGGGTCAACCGTTTCTTCTTAACCTCTCTCGTTCTTTCATTGATCTTTCCGCTGTATTTGTTAACTACCACCAGCTTCACGTCCAAACCTTCCATGGATTCTTGGTCCGTTTTCTTTGCTCACTTTAAACCGTCAACTTAGATCTAAAAGTGAAGGTGGTCAATGTTGTCTAATTCGTTTGTTTTGTGGTCTTTTACTCTAACAAGCTGATGCCATTTCATCAGAATGGGGTAGGGGATGTATTTATATAGCCTGAGCTATATCATAATTATGTACCCGTTGCTGTTTTATGTGACACAGAGGAGATTCTATGACTTACGCTGAAACTTTGGAGCCTTTTTTTGCTTCTCGAAATCAGGAAAAATAGAGAAATTTTAAAGCAATAAGACTGGCCATGGAACTCACAGTGATACAAGGTCTGGTGTTTGAATTTTGGCGCAAAATTGGCGCTTTACTAAGACAGCATGTTTTTTTTTAACCAGCGGTAAAAGCTTGGTTACTAAGCTGTAGCATATGTAGTAAACATGGGAGAATTTCTCGACGAGTGGTGCGGTGGAAAGTTTCCATTTTTCTGCATGCCCAAATCTGCAAGCCCAAATGAAGCTAAATCTATCCGTAAAAGTACCCTTTTTGGTTTTTAATTTGTGGCCTTCCATTTTATCAGAAAAGGCTCTACTTTACGTATTTTAGAAGATCGTAAACTGAAGAAATTTTTGAGAGGTTAGCACTAATGGAGACATGATAGACACCGGTCGTTTTAAAGCCCTAAAGTGCGGGTAAGTTAAGGTAATTTGATGAAATGAGAGTCGAAGTACAAACAGTAACCCTTGTTCTTTTAAGATCCTCTTTGCAGCCACAACAGTAAACCAAATTATCAATCATAATAATCAAGAAAGATCACTTCAATCGTGTGTTGACGCATGAGGGTTCCAAGCAGCAGCGAAATACCTGAGTGCAGTAACTCCATGGCGGCGATAAATTTCTCTAACTTGCTTTATAAAATAGTGTCGAGGAATTTTTTGGAAATGTTTCAATGAACTCCCATGTTCTCGATTTTGTCTCCTACTTAGAAAGTTTAATGAATGGTTGTGGAAGCCACCATGGAGAAAAGGAAATGAAATAGAAATGTGAAGAAAGAAGAAGGAGGGAAGAAAAAAATTTCAACCATGCTTAAAAAAACTACGATGTTGATTTTCAATTATGGTTGTTGATTTTTTTTTCCGCTGATAGCTATCCTTCTTTAATTCAAAATAGTCCATCTTATTGTAATAAACAGAACAAGAAAGATGTTAAGTTTTGGGGTCGGTAAAGAAATAGAGAAGGGTGTTTTTTTCTTCTTGTCACGAGCGTGAGGTCCCAATGAGGAATCGAACCTCAGACCTTCGGATTCTGCGCTACGATGCTCTAACACTAAGCCACAGAGACTCTGTGGTAAGCTACGCCCATTACGAAGCTCATATATGACTCACGTCCTGCATACTGCTAACTAGGATTAGCGATTTATCTAGAATCGGAGCGCGGAATCCGTACCTTTGAAGTGTGATTCCTCATGGGGACTCGGAATTTCCTTCTTTGTCCCACGCTTGTGACATGACGAAAAACATTTTTCTCAAGAAAGAATAAATAAAAACATCTTAATCTTTCAGAAAAAGTTTTCCTCCCTCACCCTTCCTCTCACCCCATGATTTATCGAAAAAAACCAGGGTAGCTTTGAACCAAAAGAACATGATCTTTTTCAAGCAGATTGCAAAAAGACTAAAGTTGATGAGCTGATTGAAATTCGAGAATGATATGGGGTCTCCATATTTTCTATTTTTACGAGCACATCATGCTCAACTAAAGGGTGTTTATGAAGATATAGAATATCCATGGAAACGTGTTGTGTCAGAGAACAATCTCAGCTTGCTATGCAATAATTGGGCGTCTCTTTCCGTACTATTAGCCGGGAAGGGAAGAGAAAAGTTGTACTAGTGACATCCATCCATTAATGATTTCTTGCTTAAAATAACGAGACCAATCTAAACCGTCTTGAAATTACCTAGGGGAACTGATAACTAGCTTTGTAGTGGCACCACCAGAGAGAATGCGGAATAATGCCTAATATGGTATTTCTACGTCAGTTTCTAGTTTAAATAGGACGTTCCATCTTGTTCTCTTCAGCCGTCATATTTAACTTCCTCAGAGCAAGACCTTTTAAGCAAAAGCGTCATATTTTCAATGTCTTCGAGAAGATCACCCATGGTTGAAGACTTGAAGCAGTTGTATAGAGCTGAACTTGTTGAGATTTCTGAACATCTGACCAAAGAGGAATTTAAAAAACTCTTATATTATTGCACAGATTACATTTCGGAGAGTTCTTCGAGTAGCTTCTCGACGCCGGAGGAAATTTTTCGGCGCTTGGAGGAAAAGGAAAAAATTTCGTACGAGAAAGTAGGCTTTCTGACGAAATTCGCAGACAAGATAGGAAGGAAAGATCTGGTCACAAAGCTTAACAGATATGAAATAACCAGGGAGCTGATGATTTTTGCTGTGAACAGGCAAGGATTAGGAGCAACCATTAATTCGTCGACCACAAGTGTGGGTCATCGTTTAGCAGAAATGGCGGATGTAGTCCAAGATCGAGTTGATGTACGAGCCCAAGGAATGATCAATTCCCTCCTTGGGTCCGGGAAAAATGTCTCCAACATTTTGGACGTAATCATCCGAGAAGCTGTGCCTGGCTCAGATGAAACCCAAAACTGGAACGACCTGGCTTTGTGCTTCGTCATTGCAGCGGGAATTGTCTGGTTGGTGCTCAGAGAGAACCAAGAATCAGACAACGATGCATTACAGGTCGCCATCGACCTGGCCAGTCATCTTTGGTCTATGATGGCCAAAATTGGAACATGGGTGAGTGGAATTTAATGTTAAATCCTTAGCTATTCCTTGCATTTGAGTCTCTGTAATCGAACTACTTTTAGAAACATACAAACAACTATGTAGAATCGAAAGCGGAAATGGATCAACTGTTGACACCATTCTATGAAACTTAAAGATTACCATTCAAAAAAGATTTCTATGAAATGGTTTGACCGGATGAAGTCAGCGTTTCTATCTTCGCAGCATTCTCTAAGAAACATTGATTAGCTCCAACAGAATCGTAAACACGCGAGGCCGTTCAATTTTCACGGGCATATCTGAAATATTATGCTAATTGATAACTTCGAACCACTATCGAACCCCTCAGGAACTTAGCGATTTCCAGCTTTTTATCAACGGGAGCTGTGATTTCTTGCTTGCACTGAATTTGATGCGGTCTAAAGCCAAGAAATAGACTTAAATACAGGGTGACCCCCTAAAGAAGTGTGCCTGGCTTGTTCGCTCGGTACTTGAAATAATGGGAAAGGGAAATGTTCATGTCTACTGGTAGAGATATCTGCATAATTTTAATTATTTGAGGGTTGTCAAGGGACATAGCAAATAAGTCTAATATCTGTGAACAATTCAAGAGGAGTTGTGATATAACAATAATTAGTGGCCAAGAGGTAAACAACTCAACTATTCGTTTTATGAGTTTATAAAACTAATTAAATAAGTAAGATGAACTCGAGTGTTGCGAATTACATTCGGACAATGGCCTTTATAACGAATTCTGCAAGACTACAGAGTATCATATGTTGCTTTCATATGTAGGAGGAATTTTGCAAATTTGTCCGTAAGCGACACACTGGATACAGTTCAGTTCCTGAGCCAGCGACTGACTCTCCGTGGAAGATGACGTTAATCGACTTGATTGAGAAGATGAAGGAAAACTTCTTTAATGAAAAACAAGGATAAGTAGCATCCAATTTAACGTAGTCATAGATTAATTTAGCAAACATTGGTGGGATAAAATATCTGAGCACTTAAGAAAGGAGTAGAAAGAGTGAACTGAAACAGATAGCTGGTTCATTTTTCTCTTTGTATCGAATATTTCAACGTCGTTAACTTGAAGATAATCTTTTTCAAGGGTCTACAATTTTCTTATCGGTCTGGGTCTGGGTCTTGGTCTGAGTCTGGTATTTATGTGAGCAGTACAAATTTTCACACTGACCATTTTTATGGTTTTATTACTAGGTTCGCTGAGTCGTGAACCAAGTCAACAACAAGCAAGGAAGTGATGTCTTCATGTTGGACACCAACTTCCACTTATCCAGACTTGCGGTTCCTTTTTGTGAACCAGTTGGCAAGAAATAACTTTTATGCAACGGAAGTTGCGAAAACCACACAAGCGTAGCTATTGCTACACTCTCAAATAACTGATATGCTTTAAAGCATTCAAATCCTGTTGAGCTAAATTTAAGGAGGGGGCATTGGGGTCTATTAAAAACTGCAAAAGCGTAAAATCCTGATGCACCCCTCTTTAAGCTCACACTGATTTGCTCCTGAGGAAGATGAATATGGCGGCTCATTTACGTTGTAACAACGGCTCATGTTACCACATTTGAGCACAGCATAAGTCTTATTTACAAGGTAAGTCTTATTTCCATGCTCACTACCAGTCAGACGAAAAGATCAAAATGACCCAAAAACCGATAGAGAAAAACCCAAAACTGATAAAGTAACAAAGTTAGGTCGACATCTTAAGTAGTGGGTAGTAGTAGATATAAATTTAGGTTGCCGAGTTTCGATCAAGCATGCTATATCAAAGGAAGGAACTGAAATTCGTCGTAATAGATCCTTCACTCTCAAATGATATTTAAATTGTTATAGTCTAGTGAGAGTGTACACTCAAGGGTTTTATAGGTCCTTCACACAATTAGTGGGAGAAAGTAGTTAAAGTGATATTTCGCTTTTATTAAGAATCTAATGCTTTTTGAAGTCCCATGTAGAGTAAACTTATGTTTGAAGCTTGTATCTTCTAGATAACCGTCTCAAAGGTAATCAGGTAATTTTTTTTGTAGTATTTTGGCATTCTGCAAATATAGCTAAATGTTTTTCGATACTATGTGTCGCGATGATAGTTTAGTAGAAAGTTGCCCCTTCCGACTGAAATTCCTGCAAATAAAAGGTTATTAACCCCAGAGATATGATTTGCGAACATCTCAAATTATTATATGCCACATTTCGCCGGCACGTTCCAGAATTCTCAGTGACAACTGTAGGAATGCGAGCGGGTATTATAGGATTAGAATCTATAATTTGCACAGTGTTCTCGAGTGAGACATTCTACGCGGTTCAGGATGGACAAATGTCGGCCCTTGACTGGATTGAATCTCCCGATCTCCCAAACGTGTTCGTGAGAGGCACCTGGCGCTCTTATATGTTGTGGCTATATTGCATGGCGCTCACTGAGTATTGTTTTTATTATTTTCTCAAGGTAAGGTTTAAGGCTCTCATCATTGCTCACTCATTACTCAATCACTCTCATCATTATCATGTTATCATTCATTACTGCATCAGACGACACCTTTAGGCCCGGTTATCTCTTAACCCTTTACACCCTAACATCAGTATGCAAACTCTCCATACCATGCTCTATACATTTCCTAAGGTGCTGACAAGGAGAATTTGTTTAACAACCAAAAGCTTGTTTAGTTAGTGATCATCTCCTTTATTCTCGTGATCTAGATGCGTGATTCGGGGATGATATTGTAAGGAGAAATTAGGTGTTAATCACCCTTAGAGGTTAAAGAGTTCAGCTCCTGAGGTGACTTACACTAGGCATCTTAGGGTAAAAAATCGTAGTACTCAATAGCCTACACCAATGCTCTTGTTATTATCATTATCATCATCGCCAGCGTCGTCATCATTATTATCATTACGTTTATCTGGTGTTATGTTTTGTATGTTTTTCTTGTTTTGTTTTCTGAGAAATGTTTTGCACTGATTTCTGGTCGAAGTCTTCATCGTGATCACGCAAGGCTGCGTCGTTGATGGAGAACCTGGAAACTGAATTACTACTTTCGTCTGTATGACCCTTTGAACGTTCCTCGTTATGCCTATGGTAACCATCATGGTGTCCTGGGTATCAGCATACTTCTAGTAAAGCCCATCTGCTGTGCACTGTTTCTGCAGTATTTTCTGGATTTCTGCATCAGTTCCTCTTTCTGTGCAACCAAGTTGTTGCATGATCTCGAAAGCGTTGGTTCAGCAACAGGCCACCCCACAGTTGTTACAGTCAAACGGAGAGGGTCCTGTTTTGCGTTCTCGCCCTCCAATCACCGAAAGGAACCGCTCAAGGCACAATACCTCAAACATTTAATGGAAAGAACTGATATGAACGATTTCTCAAAATTGAAATATTTGGTTTTTTCATTAGCCATTACAATTTTCTTGGATTTTCGCAGTTTTCCCCTTGGCGATCGATTTATTGTCATTTTCATCGAAAAGAATGGGACTTATTAGTTAAGGGAGGCACAGTCAGTAGTTATCTCAATTTCCAGATTCAGTATTATCCAACGGCGTTACTAAAATCATAAAGGAATTCTTCACCGCTTTCTTTAGGTTATAGCTGGTATGTATTTAGACCGATATCTGCCTCCGTGACTTTGAGACGTTTGGTTTCGATTGATAAGCTTTGGTTTAATGTTCTTGTAGGGATTACTTTTTGCATATATTGGCATTCGTTTATCTGTGTAAATGATTTTATTATGTAGGAAACCCTAAATCCCCAAGGGTGGCACCATTGCTTTGGTCGGGGGTACACGTTCCCCGTTTTGTTCCATCTGCTGCATGGTTTTAGGGGTTTTCGTGTCCGGCTTTGGTGCATTTGCTCTTTTTTTTTAACTTGTAGCACAGTTGATATCTGTAAATGTGTTGTAGCTAGATAAAAAGCATCTTTTACTTCAAGGAAAAAAGGAATGAAAAACGTAGAGTCTAAAAATTTGAAATACCCGCTCGACTATGTAAATATGTAAAAAAAAACCAAAACAGAAAACAGTGTAAATAGCAATAAAAAAGTATTATTTAAATACATCATATCAAGGTTTGAGTTTCTAAGCAGCAGTAGAAGACCAAACAAGTGCAGCGACCAGGGGCAGCTATACGTTGACTAAAGCGCAAGCGCTTTTTCTAGCGAGTATTTCTGTAAGCTCCTTAATGCCCCGTGGGTAAATAAGCTCACTTATCACTCTTGCTTAGAATGTTAAAATGTCATTAGAAAAAAACGAAAGAGGACGGAAAAAGAATAGAATCGTAGGATTTTAGCAAGATATGATCATGACTTAAGCCTTGATTAGAATCATAAGATCACTGACATTTTTCTCTCCTTAATGAAAACATGTTATTGTTCACTCTTTCAGAATTATCTACCTCCCCCCTCCCCTCCCCACTACACTTTTTGGGGTTGGACATCAAACTAAGGATCAGTTATGGTTGGCAAGTTCAGTTGGGAAAGGAAAAATATGCTTTGCTTGCTTTAATTTTCAAGATAAAGTCTATCACCAAAAATGCAACTTAATAGCATCTAACCCCACGAGTAAAAACGTGCAGTCTCAAAAATCTATGTAGTTTAGCTTTGCTTTCGCCATCAAATCCTACACCAATCTCGTTGGCCAAAATAGGTTACGATAGAGAAAAAAAATGACCTCTTCGCGAGGCTTAATCAGCAATTTATCTCCAATATCTTGCATAGTGTAGGCTGCGAGCAGACTCCCTCTCCCCACTGTGTTAAGGAATTTTTTTTTGTATTAAATCGCGCACCAAATAACACAGAGAGAGGGGCCGCAAGGGATACTGGGATTGTGCCCGCACTTGTGCACAGCGATGCCACAAACTGTGCTTTTGCGTGGCAATGGTTTAGAGAAAAAATATCTCTTTTTATTTACAGAAAACTAAGATTCTGAGGTATATTGGTTTTAATATTTTTGAAGGAAGTTCATTCATGTTCCGAATTTTGCTCCACGTTCCGCATCTTCATCTGCTAATAGGAACCAATCTTCGACAAAGTCTTTTCGATTAACCATAAGAGCAATATCTCTGGCCCAGCCCAGTGGCTCAATTAGCCAAACCTAAAAGCTAAGCTTCGAACGCCCTTTCGCTGAAGTAAAGACTTGTGAGTAAGCGACTGGAAAGATTCCCCATCTGTTAAACTTCTTTGATCAAATTCCCGTTGAATATATATAAAGACGTTCATGTGTCAACCATAACAACATATGGGGTTTAGAAATCTTTTGATTGCATAGAGATTCAGTTAGAGATCGCACACAAAGGTTTTCAATTTCGTATTTCGTTTCGCTTTCAACGCGCAACAGATTCACCTTGCCGCAGCATCGGGCACACCAATTGCATTTTAAATTTGCAAAGTTATTTGAACTAAATGAAGAGAACTGAGAACGAGCCTTACGGAGGTAGGGGATACCTCTGCCTAATATGGCGATGTTACGTCTGTTTCTGATATAAATAGGGTGCTCGTGTTTTCTTTTGGCCGCCATATTCGTCTTTCAAAGGGGGAGAATTTTAGGGCAAAATTTTCACAATTTTTGTAAGTCTATGTTATTATTACCTATGTTAGAGGAGCTAAAGCGTTGGTACCGAATTGTACTTGTCAAGATTTCTCAAGATCTGACTGAAGAGGAAAGGGAAGAACTCTTGTTTTACTGTAAAGACCACATTCAGAAGGGCTTGTCGAGTAATTTCTCCGTTGGCGTTCAAATTTTTGATCGCTTGGAAAAAGCAAACGTAATTTCCTGGGAGAAACTTGACTTCCTGACTGAGTTCCTTGGCGCAATAAAAAGGCAAAATCTTGTAACTATGCTGACTGCATTTGAGTTGACAAGAGAACTGATGATCTACGTTTTGAAAAGGCAGGATTCTCAACCACCCATGACTTCGTCGACCGCCAGTGTGGGACTCCATTTAGCGGAAATGGTGAACCATGTCCAAGATGGAGTTTACTTACCGGCCCAAGGAGTGATCAAGGCTATCCTTAAATCCCAACAGAGAGCTTCTAACGTTTTGGATGTCATCCGCCGGAAAGCATTGCCTAAAGCCAAAGAAACCGAGCCGAACACCTTCGCGTTGCTCGTCGCCATTGCAGCCGAAATTGTCTTGCTGGTGTTTGATGAGAACCAAAAACAAGAGAAGTATGCATTGGACGTCGCCATCGAGCTGGCTGACCACTTAGAGAAGAAGGTAGCCAACTATGGCAGTTGGGTGAGTGGAATTTCATGTTCAGTGTTATTTGCTGTTTTTGTCTCTGATAGTGAATTATTCTAATGAATATGTCAGCGTCATAGTGAAATCGAAAGCGGAACAGGATCATCATGAGTGAAACTGAACTGAACTTTGAAAAAAGGAGACATTTTTGAAACTAGAGCTGTTGGATGGAATTAACGCCTATTATCTCGGAAAGCCACCTAAGAAACCTACAAAACTCGTTATTCTTTAATTTTTTTAATTAATCAGCCGATCATTCCATTCAACGCTTCTAAATGAAACATAAACATTCATGGCCGACTCTAATTACCTAATGTTCAATGTTGTTCGTTTTAAATCGTCCTTGCAAGACGGAATTCGCATTGCATGGATTTTTAGTGAGAAACCGCAAACGAACTTTTCGGTTTCTACGTGATTTTTGGCCGTGATGTTTGTTTTCTTACGTGCGCTCGGAAGCTTTGGAGTCGCTAGAATACGGGGCGAGTTGATAAGTGAAGTCACGAGGGTGGAAAATATTATAATCTGTTCTAAAATAGTACGGTTTATTGTTCTCTTAGTAACTTGTCCGGAACTGGTAGTCGAGCTCAAAATAAGGATACCGGAAATGTTTGATTCTTGGGAGCATTTCTAAAACAATAATACAACAATATCTTGAGAAGCAAGGCGGCTATAATTTCGACAGTTCGCGTTACCAATTCAGAACACAAAGTAGATTCAATTCGAGAACTGAACTCGGAGATAATTCTATACTTTATGATTTGTGTGGAATCGCACGGAAGAGGAACTTAATTAGCTTTTATCTTTCCTATTGTAGAAAGAATTTTGCCGATTTGTTGGAGAACGACATAATGGTTATTTCTGTGAGCCTGTCGCTGAGCCAGCACCTGACTCGTCATGGCAGTCGGTGTTGACCGACCTGGTAGGAAAGATGAAGGAGGTTTTCTTTAGTTACTAAAAAGCGTAGAAACCCATAACCGATAGGTAGATTCTTTGATTTGATTACGTGGTATAACTGGGTAAGATTTCGATTATAGTGTAATCAAGTAAGTCAGGGGCAAAAGATGGAAAAATTTAATTAGAATTTAAAATTTGATATTTGAATCTAAGCAAAGCACACTCATTGCGAGAAGATGCTGTTTATAGAGATTTTCTTGTTTTCTCAAAATTTAAAGCGTGGTTAATTTTTAAAAATTTTTATCCAGGGTAACTTGAGAATTTATCGCTTATTAAGTGGCTGAGAGCCTATTTCATAGAAAGTTACATTATGAGGTAAATTGTTTCAGACTCAATAGGTAACCTGAAGAGGTCAGTGGAGATATCTCACGATAGTGTTGAAAAGTATTTTCTTATTCAGAGGTTCAGTTACCTTGAATAATAGCAAGCAACTTTCATTGCTCTCATTTGAATTCATAACTGATATTATGAATCATTTTGTATACAATATGTATCGTTTATGCCAACCAGAAAACATGGTTGCAATTTAAGGCAGATGCCTTTAAAACTGAATTAATGGTCTATGGTAATGTTACAGAAATTGATCATTAAGTTCGTGATGTTTGACTAAATTTCCAGTGGGGAAAACAGTCGTGTCACATACCTGAAAAGGTAAATTTTGCGGAACAAAAGAAGGAAATGTTCCTTTCGTCAAGAGATGTGGTTCTTAAGATGAGCTCAAATCTCGGACACGTCGCTGCTATTACACTCCCATTGTTGTAGCTTTGAGAGCTACTTGGTGGATTGTAAAGATAAGCTCAAATCTCGGAGAATTGAGAATTTATCGATCACACTGAGCCTACTTCTATTTATGAGAAATATAAATTTAATGCAAATTTACTGAATTCATGTCACGAGATTCGCTCAACGTTCATTGTTTATTAAGTGGCTGAGAGCCTATTTCATAGAAAGTTACACGATAATGTAAACTGTTTCAGACTCAATAGATAACCTAAAGAGGTCAGTGGAGATATCTCACAATAGTGATTGAAAAGTATTTTCTTATTCAGAGGTTCAGTTAGCTTGAATAACAAGCGACTTTCAAAGCTCTCGTTTGAATTCATAAGTGATATAATGAATCACTTTGAAGACAATATGTATCTTTTATGCCAACCAGAAAACATGGTTGCAATTTATGGCAGATGCCTCTAAAACTGAGTCAATGGTCTACTGTAATGTTACAGAGATCGATCATTACGTTCATGATGTTCGACTAAATTTCCAGTGGGGAAAACAGTCGTGTCACATACCTGAAAAGGTAAATTTTGCGGAACAAAAGAAGGAAATGTTCCTTTCGTCAAGAGATGTGGTTCTTGAGATGAGCTCAAATCTCAAATCTCAAAGCTCAATTCTCGGACACGTTGCTGCCTTGGTGGGTTGTAACGTCTGTAATCAAGTGCTGTGTTTTGCCTCGTACTGATTACATTTCAAACCTGTGTGATCCATAGGCCATTTGGCTATGTGTCACATGGTAACTAAGTGCACAGTGACGGTTAATGAGGATTTGTTACTGTGGAAGATGAATATGGCTGCTCATTTGTGTTGAAAAACGGCTCATATTTTCACATTTGAGCTGACGTCTGCTCAAAATTTGGCTGACGTCTCTTTTACAATGAATTCGTACTAGGATTCATTCAATGTTTCAGTGTTTCAGTGGTACAATTCGGAAAAGGTCAACTGACCTCAAAATACCAAGAAGCAAAAGCCTTTCAAAGTGCCTTAAGGCTCGTTAATTGAATACTGATGAAGTATTACGATTTTAAAGAGAAGTGTAGCGATTTATAGTAGATATGAAAGTTCCTAATGACTTGGTCATAATAGCCGTTTAGCAGTTATATGATATATGAGTGATGGAATATGCCTAGCCTTGGATGAGAAAGTTATCGTAGATTGTTAAGTAGGAAACTGGTACTCAAGTACAAAAACTTGATTATGTTTTTTGATTTATGAATGGTTTAATGTATGATAGATGCTCTCTTTGGTAATGTAGTTATTTTTAATGTTGTAAGTTGACAATTGGCCTTACACAGGAGAGTGTAAAACGAAACTCGGTTTCGCTAAAACAGCTCTGGAGATTTTCATGATCTGAAATAATGGAGAAAATAAGAAATAATATTTTTTCGATTTGTGAAACAAAACAGACTAGTATATTTCCATTAGTATGAAAAGAAAGGAAAACTAGAAACTACGAACTTCGATGAGCGACCAATATCGTAAAGACAAGGTGAAAACGTTAAAAACTATTGTATCTTGATCATTTTAACGTTTTGTTGTTTTGTATGTACAAGCCAATTGTCAACTTGCTCATGTTTAGAATTTATTTATAGTAATAGGGTCAATAGCATGTCAGACGTGGTGACTTAGAAAATTTTGTGATTCAATAAAATGTGAAAAATGGCAATTCTCTCCTAGTTCTTAATCTTTCATGAAATCTCACAATACTTTCGGGAGGGGTGATAAGCTCTCATTACTGGGATAGAGCAGAAAACGGTGGACATATGTTACAAACTAAGTGCCCGTAAAAAAAAACAAGTAACATGAACCTCGTTGCGGTTTGAGATCTGTATGTCTCTCAAAACTGAGATTTCGCCTTTTGAAAAAACAACGTATGTTCCAGAGAAAAGGAACGCTTTTCGAGACGTGATAAACAAGTTCATCACGAAAATATAAAAGTCTGAGTATCAATTGATAGATGGTGAAAGTTCCCTTTCAGTCAGTTAAAACATCAGTTCTCCCTCTTTTCGTCATCCTTTCACTAGAAACCATGCCCTCCGCGTGTGCACGGGGAGCTTGAAAATCGCTATCGTCCGTAATGCTCACTGTTCGACTCAATTTCATGATTGTCCTTTAAACGCCAAATTCGCGAAAGTAACATGTCCCTAAAATTCGCGTAATAGGGTATAATCCCATCGGAAATGACATTTCAACGCAATAGGGGTAACCCGTTGAAAAGCTGTGAAAACCAGAAGGTACTCGACACTTGACATCAAATAAATTATTTGTGTCATGATTGCTTTTGACTTAAAGTTCTTTCTTGCTTTTTATTTTCGCATTTATTTATACAGTGCTCACAAATTACAACTACAATAAGAATATTGCTAACACAACTTACAAAGCTAAAGTAAATCTAGCCTAACTGACACAAATAATATTAATTCCTAATATACACGTATAATAACTACCCGGCCGACATACAATACTCATGGAAACATACTGTAACTTGACTCTTTAACTCCCGTTAGTGACCAAGACAAAATTTCTCCTTACAATATCAATACAATATCAACCAGATAAGTGACGAGAATAGAGAAAAAGGTCAATTTGGGGATAGTTAGTTGATCCAATACTAAATTCTCTGAACTAACATTATAAGAATTGCATGGTTGACAGTAAGGAATATCAAACATTTTATCTGGGAGTTGAAAGATTAACACACTTTACTTTATCACATGCCGAAATAATCATTTGCATCACAATCGATATGATACTTAAATACTGACTTAAAAGTTACTCAGTGAACCAGTACAGGATCATGGGGCAAGATTCCGAGCTATTCCTCTTGGATAGGATTTTATTTTTGACTTATTAAACTTCATATTTAGTGATTGGCGCCATAAAGATATAACTTCGTTAATATTACAATGATTTAATGTAATAACGATTAAAAATGATTGATTCAATAATGATTTATGTAATAAAAATAGATTATGATTGATATTATGATGACTGATATCATAGTAAATCTAAAAGCAACTAATTTCGTCCAATTTGAAACAAATTTAAAGATTGTATTCTTCTGATTAATAGTTTCCTGGAAACAAAACAAAAAATATTTCAGCATTAATTCGCAAAGTAAACAAAGTAAAATCGATACAACAAACTTCTGCTTACCAACTGACAAACCAGGGGAGTAATAAAAATGGTGCTAAACTTTAAACAGTTCTGCGTTCTAGACTTTAAGAAGAGAGATCAAACTTTTCACTCCGATGACCTTCGATCAGGACTCACCAAAGAAATTGAATTAGAATTGTGATTTAATCTTCCCGAACGGCTTTCTAGAATTATCAAACATTAACGCAAATTTATCATTTCACTTTCTCTTCGCGCCTCAACGATCGTCTTACTAATCTAGGCTTTTTACACCGTCACACAGTTATGTCAATCGCACCACTAGACTTTTCTAACTGTTTGAAGATATTGAAACTAAGGATTGAAAAGGGAAGATTGAATTAATCAGAACAGAAGTTTTAATTTGAGAAGCCCGTGTAATTACTGGCGTGTCACAGCTACAGAATTTTTGACTCTGCAACCGGGCATATAATAACATATTCAAATCATCTTTACAAACCGCTTTGGACTAAATGATACATTGCAAATATTAAAAAAAATAAAAACCGTCAGTTACCAATATATCTGTTGTCAGTCATCCTAAATAGCACTGAATTGTAACGTGTGTACATTGAATTACGAATAATAATTGTAACATTGTTGCCATATATATTTTCCGATGTTTGTTGCCTTTCTTCATACGTAAATACTCTTTTGTAGGGTCTAATTGTTATGAGTATCGCAGTTTGGGTTCGTCTAATTCGCAATCCATTAATCAAAGTTTACTCTCTTGCCTGATGGTGAGGTCGATCTGCTAACGATATACTACTTATATAACGAGTTGCTTACTTCATACATAGGTTGTTGGTGGTCTCAATTTACTTACCAAACCGCCATTTTCAAACATCCAATCTGAGATTAAGTTGCACGTCTTGGTCTTCGAAAACTAATACACGTAATAACCATCCTCGCAACTTGTGTTTGTAGTATCCGAAACGTTAAGCTCACCAATAATCATTAGGTATGAGGTAACCACTGGCCATGATAGTTGGGAACCCTTATCCAGTTTCAAGCGATTTATAAAATTATGAATGTCACTGTCTTGCTTTAAATTTTCAATTTCTTCATTAAACTTATCATGATTATTTTCTCTAGTCGACAGTAAGTATTCTGCAATGTTAATGTTATCATCAGCAAGCATCGCACAAGTTCCCTGGCGGAAACCGCTGACGTATTTAGATTTAAATTAACATTCGATGATGATAGCAACTGTGATTCGTAATTTCAAACATTCTTGCAATAATTCAAAATGATTTATACTTGTGAGGGAGTATTTCATGATCGACAGATTAATAAATGATAATTCTTCTGCATACTGTAGATTCGTGATTAAAGTAAACATTCCAGCATCAGTAGCCATTTTGCCATCTAACTTAGAGTCAAGAATTAAACTGCGGCACCAGGAACTAACTGCTGCACGATCATTAATATTAAAAGATTTTACCATTTCAATTGAAAACGCCCTAAAAGAAGGAGGGTGTTGATATTTCATCAAACTAAACGGATCTTCTTTATGGTGCGAGGTGATTGCTGATAAAGCCATGGTTGATATGATTCGGTCAACACGGAACCATCTAAACAGAGAGTGCATGACGATGCATTGCTCTGAACTTACGGGCACTTAACAATTACGTAATATACACTTTCGCCCACTGTCAGGATCAAAATCTTCTCGTATAACCTAACAGAACCTCCCCGACACTTTCCGACGTTTCGAGAGCACAGGAATTTCCATTTAGGATAAATTAAAATTATTAAATTTTTGTAATAAGAACCCCTCGAATGAACGCGGAACTGGAGTAAAGGAAAATTAAATTCCCTGCGACTTGTTTAGGATTGTATTAAGGCCTATTTACACGGCACGACTTTGTCGCATGCGACAAAGTCGTACCGTGCAAATAGGCCCTTACAGAAAGTTCCCAGGTTCCTGCGAAATTCAGGGAAATGCTAATTCAGACTCCTGAATAATGAAATTATGATGATCGATGTACTCGATTGGCAGAACTCAAATATCAAACACATAATGTAATATTATTTTATTATCTTTTTACATTTTTACATATCTGGGTGGGTATTTTACATTTTTACATATTCAACATTGTTCAACACTTTTTTACAAAAACACTATTTACACATTTTGTATTTCTCCTTTTTTGGAGAAATCACTAATAAAAGAAGGTCCAGAGAAACTATTGAAAAAAGAAGGCCCAGAGAAGCTATTCAAAAAAAGAAATCATTGAAAAAAGAAGGCCTAGAGAAACCATTGAAAAAAGAAATGATCTTTAACGGCATTTTTTGCCACGTTGCGTTTTATTCACAAGCACAAAGACAGCGATTAAAGACGAAAAAAGCTTAGTGTCGCATCGAAAATAACTAATTCTCGCATGACTACAAATGCTGACTGCCTCTTAGTCTGGTTTCTCTCCTTTGATCTTTCCGGCTTGGTTGTACCTGCCAGAGGCTCACATGCCTCCGCCGGCTGAGTTCTCAGGATCATTGAAACGCACAAGCCCCTCCACCACGGCAAGGTGGCAGTCTGTAAGAGGGGTGCGTGTATTGGTTTCTCACAATATTTAAGAACTTCCTGCATTGTCACAGGAAAGTCAAAAGTATTGTGAGACACCTTTGAATCGTATAAGATATATTTATAAAACAGTCTCTTAATTTTCACAATATTTAAGAACTTCCTGCATTGTCACAGGAAAGTCAAAAGTATTGTGAGACACCTTTGAATCGTATAAGATATATTTATAAAACAGTCTCTTGATTTAAAAATTAGATTATAGATCGACCCGTTTTCTGAGTAGCTTGATATTTTCACCAACAGATTCTTTCATGGCGAATAACACAGATTCACTAATGGCTGCTCCTTTCTTCTCCTTCACGAATTCTTTGTATGTTTTCTGGCAAACAAATTAAAGACAATATACCATTAGCTTTCGGTGATTTTAAATTGACCAGCTGCTAATTAAGGGTGTGTTAACAACTCGGTTCTGCAAAAAGTTTTTCATTCATACACACACTAATCAAAGTAATAATCCTATCTAGAACTAAACTCACGAGTTTATGTATTTGGTAGCATTTCTGCACATATTACGGTTGGGACAATATACACTTATCAACAAGTATTTATATTGCGACAAAAAGTGACAAGACGTGAATGACGGAATGAATAGGATTAATGATAGCTCAAATGAATTGCTGATTATGCAACAGGGTATGCGACCTTAAAGTCTCACCCCTTAGAGAGGAGTTTGAATTGTGAGCAATATTTGATGGCACCTTCTATAAGAAATGAAAATTCATCTCTAGACACTTAAGATCTGTTTGTTTTTTATTCAGATGGGTCATTGAATACATTGGATCAACCAGTGAATTCTTCTCCGCTTGAACAGCTTTCTAGAATTGTCGAACAAGCCTAAATTTACATTTACTCATCGAGCGATTGTTTTTCTCTTCGCGTTTTACGTGATGTTTCACTTCTTTAAAACATTCTTTCACTCACTAACTTGTGTTTCACTTTCTGGGAGTTATCAACCAACGGAATATATAGAGACAACATGGCTGGAAAACAGTGAAGATGTAAGACAAATGAAAACAACTAGTATTGTGAACAATCAGAGTATTTGTTGTTGAACCTCAAGCATGACGCCTGAAAATGTTTGACTTTACGGAAGGTCGGTATTTTATGAAACGCTCGTCTTTAAAAACAGCTATGTTTTTTAAAGAAAACTATAGATCGTTGTTACTATTCGCAAATCACCACTTTTTTGAAATAAAAGTCAATTCCTGCTGAATTGCAACTGTGAAAAATGGATTCGAATAATCATCAAACATCGACGCGATGTTTCCTATGGTTGTCGTTTCTGTTGCAGAAGAATGTGACTTAGGTCTTAGACACATGACTATCCCAATTGTAATTTTTATATTTTGCATTCGCTCTTTGCAAACGTGTACTTTCTACGCCAATCAGGTAACGTTGCGGAAATCTAAACTCGATATTTGGAGGACTTATTTATATATTCAGGGTATGCAATATGTAAGTTCAGCTTACTCACCAAACCACCATTCGTAATAATCCAATCTGATAATAACTTGCATGTCTCGGTTTCGGTGAACCAACACACATAATAACCAGCTTCTAAAACCTCCACATCTCTTGAATTTGGGGTACAAGCAGCATATAACTCACAAATGACAACCAATAAGACTGTAAACACCGACCAAGACGGCTGAGTTTTACGAATGAACGCGTGTAGTATCTGATGACAGTCACTAATTTGCCTCAGCTGTTCAAGAAGTTGCCATATCATCTCCTGGTTGTTTTGTTTGGTGGTAAGTAAATGTTCCAGAACATCGGTGAGGTTATCAGGAGGCTTCGTCTCAGCGTCACGGCGGAAGCCATCGACAGATTTAAACCTCACGTAATTTTCCAAAAGAACTCCAGTTGAGATTTGTAATTCCACTTTCTCCAGCTCTCGCAACAAATCAGCGCGGCCTATATCTTTAAGGATATACTTTAACAGTGACATGTTGGTGGAAGATAATTCCTGAGCATTTAGAAGAGACTTGATTAACTTATATAACTCAGCATCAGTAGCCATGTCGCCATCTAACATCGAATCAGGAATATTACCTAAACATAAAAAGCTAAAAGCTGCGCGATCATCGTTGCTCAAAGACTTTACAAGTTGAACTATAAAGCTCTTAAAGACTTGAGGATATTGGTATTTCATCAAGCTGAACGGATATGGAAAAGATCTTCTGTCTCCAGAAGAAGCTGTTCTTGACTCCATGATTTAGTAGGAATCTTTGCAAAAAACAAGAACCTACGAAGGGCGCATGATAATATATTGCACTTCACAATTACGTCATTTCCATTTTTGTCTCATAACAATAGAAAGATGAGAATTGTTTTATACTCTGACACCGATATGAGGTGGCTAATGGAAAGTGCAGATGTGTCATCAATGGGAAATTCGTCCAATAGAGAAAGTTTCACAGTACAGCGTCGCTGTCTCCACTGTTTCACTGTTATAGGGAAAAAAATAAAGAACGAGATCGAGTGAATCGCCATAACTGTGTGTGCTACGTTCGGGGCACTGCAGACAGATCCGTGGTGGCATTTCTATTTTGAGTGAGTTTACAAAGACAGTTGAGGCCGTTTTCTTACACGGGGTCTAACCCAAACCGTGCTTTAACACAAACACAGGACCTTAATATTATCCATGAGAGGGTTGCTTTCAGTAAATAAATGTCCTGCCCCCGTTACTTTTCGGCCTTCTTGACACTGTACACAGAAATGAGTGTTTAGATAAAACATTCAGCTAAATTGAAGATAGTTTAGAACTCAGTTTTGTTGAACAACGACTAATCTTTCTTTAGATAACCGGCCCTTGTGGTCTATCACCATGGTAACTACAGACGGCATTGCCCTAATATGGTACTCTATTAAGTGGAGGGGGGTAAGGGAAATTTGTTATACTCATATAAATAGAATCCCAGACCCAACTTTCTGCCTCCTCTGACGACTGCGACAACATCGACAACTTACAGACTTACTGACGAAATGACTGACCGACTTAAACAAACTTTCAGAAATACTTTGTATCAGATTGCTTGCAATCTCGATGAAGAACAGCAAAAAGGACTTCAGTTTCTTTGTGTTGAACACGTTCCAAGACGAGTTAAGGAACGTCTTGACCTTTTCTATGCTCTGGAGGAAAATAAGAAGATGTCGTGGATCAACGTTTCCTTCCTGATGGAATGTTTGGACGAAATTGGAAGAAAGGATTTAGCTGAGTTATTAGCGAAGTTCGAGGTAAAAAGAAACATGTTTATTCTTCTTAGTTTCTACGTCAAGAAGAGGAATGGACAGCATTCTTTTGATGATGATGATGACGACCGGTCATCAGCGACCGAGTTGGCGGAGTATCTCGTGCAATTGATGGAAGGATTTGAGGGAAACGTTGAAATTAGAGACATAATGAACAGCTCAGATGGTGATAATAAGAAAGATCTTTGGCTGAAATTTGTCAACGAATGTCCCGCATGGAGCTCAAGAAAGACATGGAGTAAGTTCTCTATGCTCGTTGCCCTTGCCGGGGAAACCATTTGCGCTTCAGCATCAATTCACCCTGGAGGAAACTCAGAAGAAGCCATAATGGATATCTGCATAGCATTGGCAGATGAGCTATATTGTCCAATGCTTCAGCTTGGAAGCTGGGTAAATAAAATCGCTTTGTATTAAGTGTTATGAATATAATGTAATACAATAGCATCAGTATTCGGTTGATTTTATCTAGCTTCAGAGACTAGTAAGAAATCGAAACTTCTCGATACGAAGTTGGAATATTGAAAGTGAAACTTAATCTGAACTTATAACTTTACTAAGTGACTAATGAGCTCAAAGGTTCTCTCTGAAACCAGAAAACTATTGAAAGAGAAACGAAATTGATACTGGACCAATTCAGCAAAGGATTGAGTCGTTTTCAAGTTCCAAATTTGAAGAATCAGCTGTTTCAGAGAAGTTTATAAGCGCACAAAATTTAAATTGTAACGTAGTCGATGCGCCATGGTTTAACTTAGTAGATTTTGCTGCTAAAATTACCAAAGAAAACTTAATCAATTAGAATTTATCTGGCAGTATGTTTAAAAAACTTGTAATAAGTACGGTTAATTGTCTGCCACAAGGCATGTAGAAGCTGAGATATTTTTTGAAGCCTTGAAATGTTTGTCTCTTCGCAATCATACATATTTGCATATTATTTTTTGAAGCCTTGAAATGTTTGTCTCTTCGCAATCATACATATTTGCATATTATCCAAACGAATAAATTATTCATAGCTGGGGTTTTTAGGGGTCAGTAGAACAGAGATATGCAAACAGTTGTCACTTAAACAATTACCATTTTTAAATTTGTAGATAACTACCGTCTTACAAACAGGAAGTGGGAGCGATTAACTTCTGCTGTTCTCACAATCGTAAAAGATCCCTCTCTTACTAAAGTGTTTCTTAGGTTCATTATTTTCTTTTCGTTTTTTTTCCTTTACTTTGTTTTTATTGTTTTATATTTACCTATTTCCTATTGAATACAGGAGGACTTTCATACCTTTGTGAGAAGAAGACACAATCTGGTTTACGGGAACGACACGAGTTGCAACACTTCTGTGAACAGAGAGCAAATTGCAGACGCAGTCCGAAAGTTGGAGGAGGCTATCTTTTTCTAAACGAGACAAAACAAGGCAACCCCAGCCAAACATACATATAAAAAAATGAGAAAACTTAGAAAAAAAAGACAAAAGTTATAAACGAAATCAGGTGAAAAAAAGGAAGGAGGAAAGACGCGTACATCAAAAAAAAAAAAAAAGGAAAACGAAAAAAAAAAAAATAAAAAAAAAGCCAAGCTTGTCATGAACAGATCAAAAATAAAGTTCAAACCACCTCAAGATTTCATCATCATTTTCAAGATTTACCTCCATATTGGACACCGGTACATAGCCTAAGCAAAAAATCCTAAACGCAGCCTTATCGTCATCGCTTAAATCTCTCATACATTCAACTACAAACTCTTTTAAGACAAACGGACGCTGATATTTCAACAACCACTCTCTTTGCGCAAATGATTTTAGCCTTGAAGTCGCCGTCGGTAAAGCCATGACTGAAGCTAATACTTTCAGTCAAATTAGGAAAGACTGCGCATCTTGACGCACTCATTCAACATCCGGGCACTTACTTTCATTTGCAACCCGGAAGCCAACGTCGCCTTCGGTTCGGATCGTACTGGTGTCGTTATTGCTTTCCAATGGAGATCTGGGCCGGTTTGTTCCTAACCAGGGCTTGGTGCAAATTTTTCACTTAGTTTATACCTCTGCAAAAGGATTTTTCTTTTGCATCTTTCCCCTTAGTCTCGAGTCATATTAAGATAAAACTCAGCAAAATCTTAGTTCTTATACGCGCTCTTCTACATAAGAAATTAAAACCAAGGTTACCTTTTAATCCTAGATTAACGTAAACACCCACTCGAAAAATTCGGCCCTGGGCTTTACGTACAATGACACACGCTTTGGAGGGTGATTGATATATGGTAAGCCGCATAAGTAGTGTTTTAAGACGCCATCGAAATTCGGAAGAAACAAGAAAGACGAAATCATTTATATCTCCTGCACGCCTTGCGTTCCTATCTATAAAGTTCTGTATTGGGAACAGGAAAAAAATTTGGTTGCTGTGGTTCCTCTCGGCAAAGTACCATTATGATCCTGGCCACATTGAGTTGGGTGCGTTACCCAATGATACCCCCTGAATGGCTGTGATATGGCACCTGTTGAGCTTCGCCTGGGATGAAACATGAGCTGGGGTATCCTTCCCCGGGGAGTGCCCCGCGAAGCATGCAGGTGACCTTGCTATCTCAGTCACAGGATAATACCCTTGTTATTAAGAACAAGGAGGGGACCAGGAAACCGAAAACACTCTGAAAACATCGCCAAATATCATTTTCCAACTTCTTCAAACTATACAGAAAGTCTTAAGGAATTTGAAATTTCTAGCCAAAATCATAGGCTGACCCCCTTATGAAAAATCCAATATGGCCGCCATACAAGTCAATTCAAAAGAAACAAATGAAAAGTTATGGTGAGGTTGCTGGAATGCAATAGCAAACGAATGATACACTTTAAGAAGGCTTCAGTACCTCCATTGATGCTACCTCAGTGGGTGACAGGACTTAAAAAGCAGATCAATCTTGAAGGAGCTATGGCTGAAGATTAAAAGCAAATTTCTCATAGTTTTCATCTTTACCCCATACGACATTATTTTTGCACTCACCTGTCCAAGTAACAACTCCTCAGCCTTTAAACTGTCTTTGAGGCAGAAACCTCTTTGGCGGGATAATCAGTCCTAAAATTATGCATGTTTAATGATGCAATGAAGAGTTTCTGCAGCCGCAGAATGTCGTGTTTTACAAGAAAGGTATTTCATCTGTTGGTGCATTTTCGTAAAGTTTGATTTATTCTCCATGTAGTTTGGGGCTGACGCTAACGTCTACCTTCTGGCTGTTTTTATTGCATACCTTTAAATATATTTTTTGCGGGTTTCTCCTCTTTCATGCACGAAAGTGCATGAAAATCCAATCGGTGTCGTGTTCACTGCCATCCCGTAACCATGGTTGCAGGCTGGCATTGAACACGTCACCGACCTAATATGGTGCTTGTTTTGAACTTAGAGATGTAAGAGAGGTTCCTCAGTCTTGTTGCGCCCACTGATGACAGCCACATCATCACGAACATGGAGGAGAAACTAAAATGTTATTACAGAGTTGTTTTATCTCGGATTGCTCGAGATCTGGACGAAGAAGAGCTAAAACAACTGTTATTCCTTTGCAGAGGTGAAGTTCCAAGACGTGTTACAAGCGTTTGGGAACTTCTTGTTTCACTGGAAGACTCGGCCAAGATATCTTGGATGGACGTTTCCTTCCTGAAAAGATGTTTGAACGTTATGGGAAGGGAAAATCTCGTTGTCATCCTGACTGAGTTTGAAAACAAACGAGGTCTGTCCATTATTTTACATGCCTTCGTCGAGGAGAAGCAAAATGTGAAGCCCATTACCCATTCGTCCGCGACTGAAGCGGCTTCCCACCTCGTGCGGCTGATGGAAAACTTTTCAGGCGGAGAAGATCTGAGAGAAGTGATAAGAAACACAGGCGAGAAAGCGGAAGATCTTTGGCGGCAGCTCCTGTCTGAAATTCCTTTCTCAAACCT